ACCACTCCGACCTCTTTGAGCTTCCATTTGTCTCTTGTTTGTGTCTTTTTCTTTTAAATAACCTTACTGGTTGTTCCTTCCTGATTACAAAAGTAATACATGGTCATTGTCACAACATGAAGATGTATGAAATAAAAATACCACTTTCCCGAACTCACTCTCTCCTCCTAAGGGAGCCAACGTTAATACCTTGGTATACATTCACTTTTACTTCTGCCTAGACTTATACAAACATATGCTCAAATAACATATGGAGGTGGTTTTTTTTGGATGTTCTGTTTTATTTTTCAAACAAAAATGGGATATTAAACATACTACTGTGCATTGTGTTTTAATCTTAAAAATGTGCCATAGGCATTTTCCAAGCACTTGCTTGATATTCTCTCTCCTCTCTCTCCCTCTCTTTGAATGTATAAACACACACACACATGTGCACACACACACACACGCACACACACACTCACATATATCTATATATGAAGGTACTTCGAAAAGTTCATGGAAAATGGAATTAAAAGCTGAGTTTAGGGGCCAGCTCTGTGGTGTAGAAGATTAAGCCTCCGCCTGCAGTCTCAGTATCTGATATGGATGGATGCCAGTTCAAGTCCCAGCTGTTCCATTTCTGATCCAGCTCCCTGCTAATGTGCCTGGGAAAACAGCAAAAAATGGCCCAAATACTTGGGCCCCTGCACCCACATGGGAGACCAGGAAGAAGCTCCTGGCTCCTGGTTTCTGTCTGGCCCAACCCCAGATGTTGCAGCCATTTGTGGAGTGAACCAGCAGATGGAAGATCTCTCTCTCTCTCTCTCTCTCTCTCTTTCTCTCTCTCTCTCTGCCTCTCCTTCTCTTTCTGTGTAATTGACTTTCAAATGATAAATACATTTTAAAAAATAAATAAAAGAGGCTGGTGCCGCAGCTCACTAGGCTAATCTTCCTTCTGTGGTGCCGGCACCCCGGGTTCTAGTCCCGGTCGGGGCACCAGATTCTGTCCCGGTTGCTCCTCTTCCAGTCCAGCTCTCTGCGATGGCCCGGGAAGGCAGTGGAGGATGGCCCAAGTCCTGCACCTGCATGGGAGACCAAGAGGAAGCACCTGGTTCCTGGCTTCGGATCTGTGCAGCGTGCCGGCCATAGCGGCCATTTCAGGGGTAAACCAACAGAAGGAAGACCTTTCTCTCTCTCTCTCTCTCCCTCTCACTGTCTAACTCTGCCTGTCAAAAAAAAAAAAAAAAAAAAAGAGAGAGAGAGAGAGAGAGAGAATGAGTTTATTTCAGTGCACTAAAACCTGAAATCCTTGCATAGTTTTTTCATAATATGTATTTTCCACGAACATTTTCTTTTTTTTTTCCCACGAACATTTTCAAAGTTTATTTTATTTATTTGAAAGAAATAGAGAGATCTTCCAACTACTGAGTCACTCCCTCAGAGGCTCCAACAGCCAGGACTGGAACAGGCCAAGGTTAACAGCCCAAAAATCCATCTGAGTCTCCCTTGTGGGTGGCAGGGACCCAAGCACTCAAGCCATCATCTGCAGCATCTCAGATGTAGTAGCAAGAAGCTGGATAGCAAAGGTGGGATTTGATCCCAGGCACTTGGATATGGGATGCAGACATCCTAAGCTGTGGCTTACCTCACTGTACCACAAGCCTGCCCTCCCTGAACATTGTAAAGACTCCTCATATAGATCCACTACAACCTTTTATCTATTTAACTTTATCTCCTTATCTGAGAGGCAGAGAGAGAAACAGCTCTCGTCTGCTGTTCACTCCCCACATGCCCACAACAGCTGGGGCTGGGCCAGGCAAGTCAGGAGCCAGCTGCTCAATTCAGGGCTCCCACACGGGTGGCAGGAGACTCAACTGCTTGAGTCATCATGGCTGCCTCCCAGGGCCTCTATTAGTAGGAAGCTGGAGTCAAGAGCCACAGCCTGGTATCAAACCCAGGTAACATGGGACGCGGGTGTCTTACATGCTGCCTTACCTGCCAGGTTAAACCTGCACCCCACTGCATCCTTTTTAATGGCTGCAAGCTAGTCCATGAGACAGATGTGCCAAAACATTCCACCACTGCTTCACTGTTCCTAATCCACGGACATTGAGGGTGGATCCAAGTGCACGTATGTGCTTGGTGTGCTTTAAGTGGAGTTTCTGAGTCGAATAAAACATTTTCAAATGTTTACAATTTTAATATTCAAACAATTAATTTTAGTCATTCAGACTTTCTGTGCCCTTCATGATGCAAAATATTGATATAAACCTTTTACCATGTTTTGCACATTCTCTTTTTAAAAGCACACACATCAGATCAAAAAAACACCCTCGTGTAGTTATAAATAAATAAATGCTTAAGTTATGGCTATAATGGCCAGCGCTAAATCATTGTGCAAATGCTTATGCATTGGTTTATGAATGTAGTAATTCATTGTGGAAAACCCGCCCCCTCAGCCACGTGGCAGCCCTGGGGTTGCAGCTCTCACATCCTATGGCTCCCTCCCACTGTGTGACTGTGTAGAGATCAGGACCTACGTATTTTCTATTTGTCAATAGTTAACCTTAAAAAGTATGTGGCAGGGGAGACAAGCAAACTGTAACAGATGACAAATTGATGGCCATTTTGGGCTTCTAATATCCACAAATTATTTGTAGCACAATGAATAATTCTTCCATATTTCTAGAGACTGCGTTACATTAAAGATAAAACCAATAACCAATATGTTGCTATTACTACACACACCTTTCAAAAACACACTCTTCAAACATTTTTCAACAGAAGCATCGGTTGAATCCCACTTCATATTTCTTCTCTACTTCAGATGCAAGACTCTAATTACAAACTTAAAAAAAAAAAAAACCAGCTTTAAAGAAATACATTAACCAAAGAAGCGCCTTAAAACTGAAACCCCGACTCCTCTGATATTCTAAAGACCTGAGCAGCAATGGAGATTGTTAAGACACAGCAGGTTTGATACAGAAGTTATGTGACATGCAATTAATCTCCATTCATACGCTGCTCCACTTGTCAGCAAACAAAGGTGCTACTTTAGAAGGAGATCTGAAGACTTCAATTAAAAACAGTCAGCTAACAAGAAAATAATCTAAGCTAAAGGAAGGTGGCAGGTGTAGAAATGAGTTGTTTACGCAAGTGTCAGTTTTGAACAATAAAGCACTGCGCATCAAAAATGGAGTAGATTTCACTGCAAGCCTCTGAAAATAAAAAGGGATTTTCCACTGAAGAACCACCTACCGATCTTGTACAGTAGGATCCCTCCATCTCCCAATAAACATAAAATCACCTCAGATCTCTACCTGCAAAGGCAGAATTCAGGTTCTTGCCACCGGCCCTTTTTTACTGGAAGCCAAAGACAATGCCAGCCTTCCTTCCCAAGTCTAACAGGGCACCCACTGCACAGGCAGAGGCTGCCTTGCTTTTTCTCAGACACCCAGATAACACTCTCTTAGCCTGCAAGTTGTTTTCCACTCCTACAGCTTAGATTGAGTCAGGTCATAAGTAAAGTGGATTTTGGAAACCTCACCTCAAAAAGAAATACTTAGCTGACAGTTTTTATATAGAGGCGATCCAGAATGGAAACAGTGCCACAAACACAGACCAAAAGGACTTGCCAAATATCTGATTAGGAGGCATTTATACCAAGATAACAAGGTAATGGAGATATAAAACCAATTAAATTGAGAGAAACTGAAAAAAAAAATGCAGCTTGCCAAAAATATGACCTACCCAAAGCAGGCCATCTGTTAAATATGTGTCCCAAACGTCACTTAGTTGCCAAAAGGCTTCATTCTGGACAGCTTCCTCCTGGGACCCTCCTATACCTGCAGATTCCAGGCCTCTGCCTCCCTAAAAGGTCGGTTACAGAGAAGAAGTAAAAAGGACTTTGCAGATGAGACTTTGCAGATGTGAACGCTCAGGTGAGTGTGATGAGCAGGCGAGACTGCTCGTTAGGGAAGCCTCTTTCTGAGTGTTGGTGAGTATGAGAGGAAGAGAGGAGAGAGAAGGGGGGAGGGGGGAGAGAGGGAGGGGGAGAGGAGGGAGGGAGGAGGAGGGAGGGGGAGAGGGAGAGAGAGAGGGAGGGGGGAGGGAGAGAGGGAGGGAGGGGAGAGGGAGGGGGAGAAGGAGAAAGAGAGGGAGAGAAAGAGAGAAGAGGGAGGGAGAGAGAGAGAGAGACAGATCAAGACCCACCGGTTCACTCCCCAAATGAGTGCCACCCCTAGGAGCCAGGAACTCGATCCAAGCCTCCCATGTGGATGGCAGGGAACCCAACTACTTGAGTCATCCTCTCTGCCGCCTCCCAGAGTGTGCATTAGCAGGAAGCTGGAATCCGGAGCAGAGCCAGGACTCAAACCCAGGCACTCCGACAGGGGATAGGGCATCCCAAGGACAGGCCAAACAGCTGCCCGCAGCCTTAACTCCTCGAAGGGCTGCTTGCACGCTACAGATTGAAGGGGAATACATCGCGATGGAGGAGATGGAAGGCCGAGGGTGCGCCTCCTGGGTTGGATATGGACATCCCCGGGAGGGTGTAGGCTGGGAAAGGCGGCAGGGGCGGAGGCTGGGGCTTCCACACCGACAAAAACTCACAGGCCTGGGCCGGAGGACCCAGGAGCCCCCACAGCCCCCTGGAGGCCCTCCAAGCAGCCAGGTGCGTGTCTGTGAAAGGTGATAAGTTCAGGGCTGAGGAGGAAGAACCCTGCCGGTGGCGGCAGCCCTGAGAGAGGGACAGGCCGCAGATCACCAAGAACCTGGCCGGACGGAGTTCAGACGCCAGGGAGGTTAAGCGGAGGAGCCCAGGTGTGGGACACAAGGAGCCAGAGACCCCCGAGTGGAGGAGGCCCGCCGGGCCGGGGTAGGGGACCTGGAAGCCTGCGGGTTCTCCACGGCGGTGCGCGGTGCAGCTGAACCGAACGCCGGGCCTCGGGCGGGCCTCGTGCCTCCTTTCCTGCTTTCAGCCCAGCGAGACTTCCCAGAGGGGTCAGGGCGTTCGTTACCTTCCAGGAGCCAACGGATCTCCTCCGGGAGGGCGACGGCCTGCATTTGCCGGGCGGGAGAGGGGGCGTGGGCCCTGCTCGGAAGGCAGCCGGCGGGCGGGCGGGCGGGCGGGCGCGGGCTGCGCGCCTCAGGCACCTGCGCCTCCGTGGCCGCCGCAGGGCGGGGTCAGCGGGGCGCGCTCAGGAAGTGGCGCGCGGTCGCCCGGGGGGCACCGGGGCTGCCTTGCGCGGCGCGCGTGGCGCCCACGCCCGGCCCAGTGCAAAGGTTGCGGAGCCGTCGCTTTCGCCCAGCGCCCAGGAGCCGCGGCTCTGAGGGGCTCCATCCTAATCGCTGCACCGGGGGTGCCTGAAACGGGGCGCGGGGAGCTGAGCTTAGCATCGTACCCCGCAGCTGCCGGCTCGGTTCCCGCGCCCAAGCTCAGCGTGACTGCAGGGCGGGCGATCGCTCAGGGGAGACACCGGGTTGAGAGCGGCTCTCAATCCGGCCCCTACCTCCTGTAAACAGTGTGAGGGAGAATGGGGCAGCCACAGCCTTGGACACGGGAGCCCAGGTGTCCCTCCCTGTCCTCGCAGGACAGGAAGGAGTGGCCTGGGGGGTGGAGGTGGGCAGGAGGCCAGGGAGAGGGAACAGAGCGCGCCCCTCTGAGAGCTGATGGAGGGAGGAGACTGTGGGGGAAGGCTCAGCGCCCCGGTTGGGGTCAGTGCGGCGGGCGGGGACCGTCCGTTGGCTCTCACCGCTGTGATTTTTATAGTGAGCTCAACGTAGTGGCTTTTTTTTTTTTTTTTAGCACAATAGACCAACTGCCATGAAAAGGTGGAAGGTGGCCAGGGAAGGGAGGTGAATATAAGAAAGTGATGGAGGTGTCAGTGGGTGTAGTTTTTAAAATACACAACTGTTTTTCTTTTTAATGTTTATTTTCATCTACTTGAAAGGCAGAGTGACAGAAAATCAGAGATTTTCTCACCCATTGGTTCAATGCCCAGATGGACACACAGCTGGGGCTGGGCCAGGACAAAGCCAGGAGCTCCATCCAGGTCATCCACATGGGTGCAGGGACCAAGTACTTGGACCATCTTCCACTGCCTTCCCAGGGGCATTAGCAGCAAGTTGGATCAGAAAATGTAGCTGGGAATCAAATTGGTGCTCCAGTATGGGATGCCCGCGTCCCGCGCAGTGGCTTGACCTGCTGTCCTGTGACAACACTGGATGTTTCTAAGGAGAGAGGTGTGGGTGGTCTTTGAGATGAGCTCAAAGGCCACGCCAGATTTAAAGGGGCAGGAGGAACTTCTCAGGTGAGAAAACCAGAACCAGCAAAGATGGAAAAGCCCCCACTGCTGGAGGAACAGCGTGGGGCCCTCTCTCAGGGAATGATGAAAGGAAACTGGTTGTGGGGATAAAAGGAGCTTGAAAGTCAGAGTGGGAGATTTTTGAACTCAATTGGGAGACGCCGCCGACAACCTCTGAGTGACCTAAGCAGAGCTCCTATGTGGCATGCGGCCTCACACATCTCTTTACCGCTACTGTTTTTCCTTCTTTACCAAAAGTTTTTTTTAAATGTTTTAAATTTCTTGGAAAGGCAGAGTTACAGAGAGAAAGGGAAAGACAGAGAGAGATCTTCTATCTTCTCGTTGATTTCCCAGATGGCCACAACAGCTGGGGCTGGGCCAGGTCGAAGCCTGGAGCCTGGAACTCCATCTGGGGCTCCCACATGGGTGGCAGGGGCCCAAGGACTTGGGCTTTGTTCCACTGATTTCCCAGGCATGTCAGCAGGAAGCAGAGGAACACATGCAGCAGCTGGGATTCGCTCATATGGGATGCCAACATCACAGGCGGCAGCTTAACTCATGGTGCCATACACTAGCCCCGAAAACGACGCTTCTGTTCTCCGAGACCACCTATAGAACATGTAGGAAGGATTTGGAATGCTAAGAGGGGGCACATGGGAGACAGAGGACATGGTTTTTAACAGCAGTTTCAGCAGAAATGATGATGGGCTCAAGCTGGGAGAAAGGGCAGGAGTAGCACCAAGAAAGTGTCCTGAAGACAGGTGGTAGCAATGCCCGCCTCCTGGCACAGCCTCAGGGTGAGGACTTGGTTCTTTAAAGAATACAGTGGTGCTTTCTTAATATTTATTTATTTGAAACAGAGTTACAGAGAAAGAGAGTGAGAGAGACAGAGGTCTTCCATCCGCTGGTTCACTCCCCAAATGGCCAGACTGAAACCAGGAGCCTGGAGCTTCTTCCAGGTCTCCCACATGGGATAGCAGGGGCCCAATCTTCCATTGCTTTCCCAGGCCATTAGCAGGGGGCTGGATTGGAAGTGGAGCAGCTAGGACATGAACAGGCATCGCAGGCAGTGGTCTTACCTGCTACGCCACAGCGCCGGGCCCAATGCAGTGATTTTGATCATGTCCTGCATCTGGAAGCAATGGTGCCTTGTTGTCAAGATCACATGACCCACCTACCAGTTGCAGCAAATCGGGATGAAGGGACAGGGGCTAGCATGAGTCTCAGGGGACTCTGGTTCTGCTCATCCTCCTTGCTGTGGGGGAAAGTCGAACAATGAGCAGGCTGCCCCTTCCGGGCTCAGTGGAGCAAGTACTATGTACCCCTTGGGCAACATTGCCAACACCATCACCCCACTATAAAATTGTCATTGCTCTGGAATCATTTTTGAAGTACTAGGATGCACGTTAAAGAGCAATGAAGTGGTGGACATTGCGGTGCAGTGGGTAGAGCTCCACCTGGGTCACCTGCAGCCTACACTGGAGGGCCTGAGTTTAAGTCTTAGCTCCGCCCCAAATTCTAGCTTCCTCTTAACACACCTAGGATACAGCAGATGATGGCTCAACTACGTGGGTCCCTGTGACTGACATGGGAGACCTGAATGGAGTTCCTGGCTCTTCTGGCTACTGGTCCAGTCCCAGCTGTTGCTGGCATTTGGGGGAGTGAACCAGTAGATAGAGGACCAATTCTCTCTCTCCCTTTTTTTTTTTTTTTTGCCTTTCAAATATATAAAGAGTAACAGAAAACCAAGGGAGAATATCTGGGGACTCTGTGTTACAGCCGCAGTTGTTTTTGCAAATCTAAAGCTGATATAAAAAAAAAAAAAAAAAAAAAAAAAAAAAAAAAAAAACCAACAGCAAGGGAAACAGTGACCCCCATATGTCGCTTCAAGCTTTGCCTCGGTTTTCTTCTCGGTGATGGGAGAAATTTCCCCAGCCTCCCCTTCTTCTTCCAGGATATTGTGTCACAGGCTAGGAGCTAATGAGTTGTTTGAGAAAGAGCAGTACTCACAGGCCTCTCTGCCTGCTATGGCGTACTTACACCACGGGGAACAGCTGATACTTGCGGGTTGGGTATTCTGCATCTTTCCCTCCCCCTGCCCCCCGGCCCTCGAAGCTCTGCGTTGGAGAGAGACAGAGGCAGAGCAGGGTGCAGAGGTAGGCAGTATGCGTAGTGACTGGCAGATTCCAATACGGTATTGTCATGTTGCATCAAGGTTCCTCGTTGCAGACAGAAACCTGCCTCCTCACATGAGCACAGCCCCTCCTTAATCATCTGAGGACCCTGGTGCAGCCGTCAGCTTCACCCCTAATGACATTCTGTTAAATGGACAAATTCCTTTGAAGCCTTGTCCTTCTTTGAAATCCAATTTCGCAGGAAGCCAAATCTGATTGGGGGTAGCCATGGAAACCACACCGAGGAGTCTTGGAGGAGGTGGAGAGAGGCAAGGCAAAACGTGATAGCCAAGAGTCCTTTACTGCTCTGTCGGAAATATCAAAGCGATCTGGAGAGGTTGGCAGCAGATGAGCCCCTGCCCAGCTTCTGTTCTGTGGGGCTGGGCACCATGTGGCTGTCATGGAGGAATGCAGCCAGCTGTCCCTGCGCACAGGCAGGCGGAGCAGCAGGACATACAAATCCCAGGTCTGCCTGCCTCCCTCTTCTTCCCCTCCTCCCAGCCCCACTTCCTGCAAGATCTCAGCAACCCCTTTGGGGCTGCTCACCCCTTAAAGGCAAACAACAAAAGAACGACAAGGTTAAAATACAAGGCCCTCACAGATAAGAGGTCCTTGGGAGCAGAGGCCATGAAATTAATCTGAAATTCCTTGTAATTAGATAAGATAAGGATATCTGAAGAGATGCAGGGAAGCCAGGCATGGAGTTGGGCAGCACAGGCTGCAGGAAATGGGCCGCCTTGTCCACTGGGGCCGGTCACACACTCTCAGCAGACAGAAGATACAGAAAACAGGCCGGCCTCCTGGCTGCTTGCAGCTGCTGTCCACGCGTTCTCATGCCAGGTGGGCTCTTGTTAAACATGCCCCCCTGGGGTGTCCAGAGGGCCCAATCAGGAAGAAGCAAAAGCACCTGGCACCCAGAGTGGCATAGGGTGGGGACAGTTGCAAGCAAAGCGGGGGCCAGCGGGCACTGCTCCGTTCTGGCTGGATCGGGTCTGGCGAGGAGATGCGGAGGGCAGGCTCTGAGACTGTGTTCCGGGCTGGTTATTGATCCCTCGATGTTGGGTCACGACACGTGGCGGAGCTGACGCCTGCCCTGTGGATGTGTGGCCTCTGCTTCTTGGTCCCAACCCCATCAACTGGGTTTATTGACTCTTTTATTGACAAGGCTGGAGCCTAATGAGGATGAGGGCTGCACACTTCATTAAGGGATGTGGAAGGAGAGATGATGCTTCCTGTCGATGCCAAGAACCAGGCTCACTGCTGTTTTGCAAGGCCCCAGAAGCCAGGCCTCCTGTCACCCAGGGGCAGAGGACATGGAGAAGATGCTAAGTTGGGTGCATCCCATCAGTGGCCTTGAAGTGCAGGGTTTCTGCTGCTTGCCGGAAGCCTTGCTCTTGCTAATTAACTGACCCTTTGACTTAGGAGGGTCCTGTTATGCTCACTCTCACACCAAGCATTTCCGATGGTCTCCCCTTCCAGCTCACACTCCTAGACCCTCTGTCCTAACACACAACAAAGTAAGCAGATGCTCAGCTCAAATCAGAGGACATTCCCATCACAGGTTCTCAGTGAGGCACAAGCTCAGAACAGAGTGAGGGACTATTACAATTCAAAACAGGGGTGCAGTTTAACCCAGTGGTCAAAAATGGGTTAAGATGCTCAAGTCCCATATCGGG